GCCCGCCCCACCTCTCCGGGATCCGCGTCCTCGCGGGCTCCGGGTCGGGCGGAGACTCGGGGTGCCGGGGCTCCGGGAAGAAGCTCCAGGTGCCGCGCCGCCGCTCAGCCGCCCCGCCCGGCCTTAAAGCGACCGCGCGTCCGGGGCTCGCGGGGGGTTGGGGTTTCCTAGCGCTGGGGAGCGGCCGGACAGCGGCTGTCCTGGCCGGCCCGGGAACTGTCGGGAGCGTCTGACTCGGGGCCGTCCCACCCCCACTTCCCCGCCGGGCGGGCCTGGGAGCTATCCCCGCCCAAAGGGGGCTCTAGGAATCCTGAGCCCACGCCTTCACTCTCCCCTCGAGAGCTAGGGAAGCTGAGAACCGAGGAGGGAAGGGGACGCGCCCTTTCCTAAAAGGTCACCGAATGAATGCTCGCTCGTGCAAGCCCTCCAGGACCTCATATCCTGAGGAGGAAGACATTCTCAGAAATGACGGGCGGTGTTCAAGTGCTTCCCCTCAGCCTGGCAGGAGGTCACTGCAGGGGATGGAGGGGGTGGGGAAGAGCAGGACTGAGAACCGGCCGCTGGCCGCTGAGTGACTGAAGGTCCCAACCCACCTGAGGCGTGTCACGCGTGGCCCCTGGGCAAGTGTGGGCGAGTCACTTTTGTGGACATTGGGTTTGGGAGACCAGAGGGTTGGGGGTGGGAGAGTGGGCGTTCCTGGGAATTCCTCACCTTTCTAAGTTGGCTGGGGAAGTCCTCCTGGGAAGGTCCACAGGCAGGTGGGAGGGTGACACCCGGGCAGAGGAGCAGCCAGCACAAGGCTGGGCAGGTCACAGATGCTGAATCTTCCAGACTCGCGTGGGTCAAAGGGAACTGGTTGTGAATCAGACCGGGTCTGTGTTTTGTTTTTGTCTTTTCCTGCTGCTCCAGCCAGCCAGAGGACAGGGCCAGATTCCCCTCAGTGGCAGGCGGGATGCCCCACCCAGCTGGTGGTGACTAAGTTCTCCCAACCCAGCACTGCAGGTCTGACCTGTGTGTGTCCAGGGGGAAGCTGAAGCTCGGAGAGGGAAGCACTGCCTCACGCCTTGGAGTGGGTGGCAAGGCCCAGGCCCCGATTCCTACATTTATTTTCCAGGAAAGACGCTGCCCCAGTACGGTGGCTGTCTGAGCAGGATGCTTCTGACCTGAGGCCTTTCACATGGTGTCTCTTTCCACCTTCACGGTGTGTGGGCTGTTGAAATGCTCCCGTTTCACAGACAGGAAGCCGAGGGTCAGAGAGGAGCAAAAAAGCTGGCCAAGTCTACAGAGATGGGGAGTGATGATTGAGCTGAGACAGGAACCAGGCACTTCAAATAGGGCCACCTTCAGCTTGCTCTTCTCAATCTGGAGCAGGGGACCAGCTGCAGGGGACCAAACATCTAGCTCTTGGAGCTCAGGGAAGATGTGAGGAGGCCATGAAGTGATCAGTCCCACTCATTTTTGCAGGGGCAGGCAGCTTTGTAAGGGGTATGCCCACACTGATGAATACCCTCCCCTCCTGCGCGCAGTTTCAGGGCTGGGTAAGTGTTGGAGTCCAGCCTGGGACCACCACCAACAACAACAACCTCCCACCCTAACCCTGCTTAAATCTGAGTCCCCTGGCTCATACTGGATCCTCAGCCTTGGACTGGGAGAGGACTTCTGCCCTGACTTAGATACTTCCAGATTAGGAGGAGATGATCACATCTTTCTCTTTGAACTTCTGTGTCCTTTATAAGTGGAGACAATGGCACCTCCATGCCAGGGGAGTTAGAGGGAGTAAGAGCTGATCCAGGGCCCTCCCTGGTGGCTCAGTGGGTTAAAGCACAGCACTAAGAAGCTAAAGCCACATCCGCATGAGTTCGATTCCTGCCTGCCCCGGAGGTGACCCATATGGCACAGCAGACCTCTCCTGACCCACCCACTGCTCCCCTCAGCAGTGTACTTAGTCGATCTGCCTGTTCTGCTCCCCACTCTGTCTCTGATGAATCCTCTCACCGCCCCTGAGCCTCTGGCCTGTACCCTAGTTCTATATGCATAAATAAATAAATCTTTGGAAAAAAAAAAAAAAAGAGCTGATCCAGGAGGAGTGGGCCTGCTGCCCTCTCACTTGGTAGAATGACTCTTTGTGACTCTTCCCCAGCACTGGTGACCTCCCTGAGCCAGGGACCTCATGGGCGGTGGCTCAGGACCGGCCTGACCCAGCTGGGCTGGCACTAGAGGAGGCTGGGACTGGGTGCTGATCAGAATCCAGGGGTCTGGGCTCCTCGGGGTTCTGCCTCTCTATTCCTCTTCTCCACCTTTTGGATCACTGCTCCCAGTGCCCAAGTCCTCCCTGATGCCCAGCACCGGGTGAGTCCCACAGGGTTGGATGTCCTTACAAAACTTCAGAACCTGCAGCTTCAGGTTTTCCCTGGCACCTGCTGGTGACTCACAAGAGAAAGTCAGTCACTAACTTCTGCCTCGAGGAGGTGGGGGAGAGGGCTACTACTTGTACCCAGTTACTCTGTCACGTTTCTTGTTTGTCACCGTCATCAGCTAAGTCACTGGGACTAAGAGAGGAATCTTGCCCAGGTCACAGAGCTATTTGGGGGTAAAGGAAAGATGGTGCTGAAATCCACGTCATTCTCAGTCTTTCAGCTCCATCTGCATCTCCCCATTTCTACCACTGTTTGCTACTGCCTCTCAAAGGCCTCTCTGCCAGCTCGTTTCCAGTCAGCACCCCAATCAGCCCCTCTCCTGCCTAAACCTGTCGGTGCTCCTACCGTCCCCACCCTCAGATAAGGACCTGAGCTCCTAAGTATCCATGCCCTGCCTCTTTTTTTTTTTTAAATAATTTGGCCCTCCCTGGTGGCGCAGCGGGTTAAAGCACTGCACTAAGAAGCTTAAGCCACTTCCACATGAGTTTGATCCCCGACTGCCCCAGAGGAGATCCACATGGCGTGGCAGACCTCTCCTGACCTGCCCGCTGCTCCCCTCAGCAGTGTACTTCTGCCTGTTCTGCTCCCCACTCTGTCTCTGGTGAATCCTCTCACCCTCCGCATCTCTGGCCTATACCACAGTTCTGTATGAATAAGTAAATAAATCTTTAAAAAAAAAAAAAGTAATAGTTTATTTTATGCCCTGCCTCTTTTTTGAGCTCTCCCCACCTGACTCCTGAACTCATAGGCCTGTGTCAATGCCACACCTTTGCCCTAAAGGCCCTCCCTTCTCACCGGCTTCCCTGGGGAGCTCTTGTCAGTCCCTAAGGTAGGGTCACAGGTCTCCTCTGGGTGACTTCTCAGAGTCCCAAAACAGAACTGTCTGGTGCTGTTCTCCCCAGTGCCCACAGGACTTCATAGGTCTGTCTTTCATACCCAAGTTTCCAATCAGTGCCCTAATTAGTCCCTCTCCTGCCTAAACCTGTCAGTGCTCCTCCTGTCCTCCACTCTCAGATAAGGACCAAGCATACTAGCAAAATGAAGCCACGTGCCTTCCTTTCTTCCCCAATAAGAAGGGCATGGCCGAACATTTAGAAAATATCAATACTAAAAGAAATCTGAATATTCCTCTTTCACAGATAAAGGACAGTCTCCCACTCTATAAATGAAAAAAAAAACATTTCCCTAAATGCAGCCTTCTCAGCACAGGCCCTGCCTACCTTCTCACCCCCACCCTCTTGGGCAGCAGATTCTGAAGTCCATGGTCTCAGGCCACTAGCAGCAAGAAATAAGCTCTGGGACCAGACAGACCTCTTAGGCTTGTCATGAGAATTGAATGAGTAAATATACTTAGTACTGGGCTCAGACTAAGTGCTTAATAAATTGGCTGCTATTATTCTATCCATAAAGAAGGAGTGGGAGAATTTATCCTCTTAGGCACCCTCCCTCTCCCTGCCTCCAGGACTGGAGTTCAGCGGCCTGTGTTACAGAGTCATTACCGAGACCCACCACTGTAACGTTTTTGATCTAATTCTTTCCAAAGGTGCATATTTTCAAAAATCTGATCACGTGCTGTGTGCCATTTTAATAGGCTTTCATTTTCCTTTAGCACCATCCATCATGAACATCTCTCCTCAGCACACACCCCCCTTCCCCGCCCTTTTCCTCCCCCCCACCCCCATTCTAAGTAAAGTTTCACTCTCTGGCTCTTCTACTGAGGGCATCCCCAGGCAGGTACAGCCCGCTCATGCCCCAGCTCACCCCGCACCCTGGGCCATCTCCAAGCCTGTGCACAGTAAGCCGCCATGGATAGTGCTGGGCATGCAGGACATGTGCATTGCGGGATTGTTGTGACCCCTGTGTAGGAGTGTTTCCATTCGGAGGGAGGACAGTTGAAGGAAGAGGGGCAGCCCAGGGTCCTCCAGCCACCCACCAAGGCCAGTGGAGGCCAGGGAGAGGGAATACCTCAAAGAATCCTCTGAGCACATTCCCACATGCCGGGTGGCAAAGGGTTCTAACCTTTGCAGACATGAAAGAGGAGTTTTAGAGTCATATTCTCAATTGGGTGTGATTTTTGTCCACTCCCATCAACTCCAGAGGATATTTGGTCATAGTATACAGAGATGTTTTTGCTGGGTGGAGAAAAGATTTGAAAACTGTATTTTGATCTCTGCTTTATAGGCTTAGGAAAGAATATGAGTTGGCTGAGGTCACACAGTGAACATTTTCAATTATTTTTATTTATTTATGCATATAAGAACTGGGGTACAGACCAGAGGTGCAGGGGCTGAGAGGATTCACCAGAGACAAAGTTGGGGGGCAGAACAGGCAGATTGGCTGAAATAAACTGCTGAGGGGAGCAACAGGTGAGACAGGAGAGGTCTGCTGTGCCATGTGGGTCACCTCCCTGGCAGGGATCGAACTTGTGCTGCAGTGGCTTCCATAGCTTCATAGTGCAGAGCTTTAACCCATTGTGCCACCAGGGAGGGCCCCACACAGTGAATTTGAAGTATGGAAGGGACCCAGGAGAACTCCTAAGGCCTAGAGCCTTTTTCACTGGCTTCTCAGTCACTGTGTAGAATTCCTGATTCCATGGGCTGCAGTCAGGGTCTCTGCAGGGGAAGGATGGAGAGGGGAGAAAAGTGGAGTTGGCAGGACCAACTGTGTCCAGGACCCAATCTGGCCCACTGCCTGTTTTTATATAAAGTCAACAAACTGGGAATGATTGTACACCGTTTAATGGTTGAAGAAAATCAAAGAAACAATTTCATGATACATGAATATTTTATGAAATTCTAATTTTAATGCCCATAAATAGTTTTGTTGGAACATAACCATGATCAGTCTTTACATATTACTTGTGT